GGAAACCGAGCAGCTTCCTTCAGTAATTTAAGTGTCTGCCCAGAGTGCAGGCTCTTCTCCCGTGTTTCTCTCCTGAAAGCAGTCTCAAATGGACTATGTGTTTTCCTCTGCAGGTGGGAGGGGACACCAGGTCCACAAATCCTGGCCGACCTCCATTACTGAAGCTGAGAGCAGCCTGGATTCAAACGCAGGTAGGTACGGGCACCAGCCCAGGGCAGGCAGTCCTTCCCCGTGAGTATAGTCAGCCTAAACCCACAGCGTCAGGGCTCGGCCAGACCCATCACTTCTCTTTTTTATCTGCCTTGTAATAACACCGTGTTGTAAACAACTGCTCTGATCCCAATCTCCAACAGGATGGGATGGGATGGGATGGGATGGGACGGGACGGGACGGGACGGGATGGGATGGGATGGGATGGGATGGGATGGGACAGGACAGGACGGGACGAGGAACCTCTGAACCTTGACGCTGCTCCAGCTGCAGCCTGCTGCCCTGCCACGGGCACGCACAGCCCCTGCTCACTCCCGGTTTCTCACATTCTCCAGAGAGAGCTGCCCCAACCAGACGGCTTCTCGCCGTGGGAATTGGCCACGAGCGTGAGAGCACACTCAGAAGAGAAACAACTTTGCCAGTAATCTCACTGGCTTGTGGGTTTTGTTTTGACAGGTGAATTCAGCCCTAAACTCCAGCGGCTGTCTTCCAACGGCACCATGTCCTCCAGTGAAGAGCTGGAGGAGAAGGATGAGAACGCCACCCCCTTTGAGCAGAGTACGTGGCAGCGCGGGAGGTGATGCGGTGCTCCTGCGGTGCACCCTCACCCCATGGCAAAGCCAACTGCAGGTTGACTTTCCCCAAAGTTGGTGGTTCTGGAGGTAAACTGAACAATTGCTGGGAGGATACCTGACGGTGACCCCACGAATAGCATTCCCTTTACCAAGGGATGAGCTCCGCTCAAACCTGTGGGAACAGGCGAGATAGGGCTGTACCCCTCAGAGTTTGGGTTATCTGCAAAGTTGATAATGAACTAGTGCCTCCAGCGGGATGTCTGCCCTGCGGAAGCGGCCCTTCTGCTCAAGCTTTGCCCAACGTTGCCTCCCCAGCAGCCGGGGTGCATCTGCATTTCTTTTTGTTCCGCTCGTAGGCATCAATGGGATGACCTCGGAGATGACAGCTCCAACGGGGCCCTTCCGAAATGTTGGCTTGTCCAAGGCTGCCCAGACTCACCGACTGAGGAAGCTCCGGACCCCTTCCAAGTGCCGAGAGTGCAACAGCTACGTTTACTTCCAGGGAGCAGAGTGCGAGGAGGTAAATTTGGGAGAAGTGGGAAGAGAACCGGGTGGGCGGGATGGATGGAGGACGTGTCCCATGAAGGGGGTCACCTCACCGCTACCTGCGTACGATCCCGTGATTCACTCTGTCCCCCGGTGAGAGCCACACGCTCTGCAGCAGCACGTTGCGGTGCAGATTGTCACTCGGCTGTCACAGGTTTGCTGTAGAAACCCGACCAGGAGCTCTGACACTGATGTGGTCAAAACCATGGGTGTAACCACAGGCAGGAGGTCTAAGTTCCCATTTCCCTAAGCCTAAGCAGAGGTGCCAGCATGAACTTTGGGGCAGGACTACCTACTTCCTCTAACCTGTGTTTAGGAAGACATGCCTCCTTCGGGGAGGGGTCCATGTGCTTTGCATCAGTCCTGTGGTGTCTCCAAGAAAGGCATTTTTCCTGTCTGCCACCCTGTCCAGCGAGTTCCTCATTCTCCGAGCGATGCCTGGTGTCTCTCCGGGGCTGCCCGTCTACCTGACCCGTGGTGCCGTCTCCCACCTCCACCTCCTGTGTTTTCCAGTGCTACCTGGCCTGCCACAAGAAGTGCCTGGAAACCTTGGCCATCCAGTGCGGGCACAAGAAGCTCCAAGGGAAGCTGCAGCTTTTTGGGCAAGACTTCACAAAGGCTTCCCAGAGTAGCTCAGATGGCATCCCCTTCATCATCAAGAAGTGCATTTCTGAGATTGAGAAGCGGGCACTGAAAACCAAGGTGACGCACTCTCTCTTCCCTCTTCTTCAGCCAATGTGGCTCCGCTGCCTTCTCTTGAACTGATCTTCTGCCTTGGTGCGAAACCCAACAGACTCATTTTTCAGATTGCGGGAGGCAGAAAGTCCCAGGTGATGAACTTGGCCCTGATACCCCAAACTCTGACCTTGGAAACCCACTTCTCTTGCCTCCCTCTTTTCTACAAAACAGGAACGACAGTAACATCTGAGCTGGAAGGGGATGGCCCAGAATGACTTCTGAGAGGGATTTCCAGCCCCAAAAGGAGACGGGGGGAGCTGAAACATCACCGTCTCACACAAACGTGAACAGAAGCATCTCTCCTCATGTCAGCTCCGCTTTTCTCTCTTTTCCAGGGCATCTACCGAGTTAATGGTGTCAAGACCCGCGTGGAGAAGCTTTGCCAGGCGTTTGAGAACGGGAAAGAGCTGGTGGAGCTGTCCCAGGCCTCCCCTCACGATATCAGCAACGTCCTGAAGCTCTACCTGAGACAGGTAAGGGGCTGGTGGTGCTGGGGGGGAGGCAGGGGAGAGGCGTCCAGAGGGACTGACTTCCCAAAACCCAACCTGGCTTCACCGCGTCGTCCCTGGCAGGAGTAACTCTGCAGAAACGGGGCTGTTGGGTGGCCGCGGGTGTCGAGGGGTCCCTCCCGGCTGGGAGCGGGTCGGCGGCGGGGACGTGGCCACGCGCGCGCGTGGGGAAGAGCACGCAGGTTGTGCCTGCTCCGAGCCGGCTGCGGGTTCCTCGCACTCGGGGGGCCCGGGCACCACTCGCCGCGTCTGGCTGCCCCACCGCCGCAGCGGCGGGCGTCGCCCCCCGGGGGCAAC